CTGATTTGGTATCTAGCATCAGGTCTAAAAAGAGTTGAGGATAATTAAATATTTGATTTTGAAGGGTTGTGTGCGTGACAACTTTGGAGTTGTTCTAGCATGAGTTGTTCTCATATATAAACAATTATTTTTAAAAATTTAATGAGCTGCTGCAACATGATTTTCGAAATTTGAAGATTTGTTTTAAAGTCAATTGGAAGATCACATTTTAATTTGTGTGTATAACAGTACGAATCTATATTAAAAGTTTTAGCTATGTGCTTTGAGCTAAGGATATAGCTAACTTTAGTTAATTATAATGTTAAATCTAAATAAAGATTTCAAGTAAGGGCTTTCCGGAAGACGTTATCAAGGTGCCACACTTATTTGGATAATTTGAATTCAGCTTCTACAGGTAAGTTCACTACCACCTGTACATGTTTGTTCAACCAAATGCAAGAAAGAAGTCTGGTTGATTTTTAATAGAAAATTTAGACTATTGGCTATTATGTGAACTATGTGAATTATGTGATGAGTTATTTTATTTGCTAGATTAAGTTATGTTTATTATCTGGCATAGTCAAGATTTGTCAGTACTTTTGTTTTCAGATTTAATGATATTTTTAGTCAAACGTCACCATAAAAAGAACTAATATTTAAAGTGAAAGATCAGGTGATATGTACTCGGGAACAAGTTCCCTCAGTTTATCAGTTATCAGCTTATCAGTTTCAGAAAGTCCGATATGTTTAGTGGGTCGCTCCCCTGAGCTGTCGGATTGGCGCCTTTGAGTACATATCACGGGCCCACAGTTAAAATTAGCCACAAAGAGTTATACAGAAAGTTTAATGAGATCTCTTTCAGAAAGTTTTACAGAAAGTTGTTTTTGAGATCTCTTTCAGAAAGTTTTACAGAGATGTTTGAGAAAGATATTTTGAGATCTCTCCAGCAGTTTTGAAAAAAAAAAATATTTTAGAAAATATTTTCCTTTGAGATCTCACTTCGAATGTATTTGTGAAGTTATGTGTTAGTTATTTGTTCAGTGCATGCTTATAGCCTAAATTTATCTATTGATAAATTGGTCTAGACTTCTGGATATTTTTGTGGAGCCATAGTGACTTACTAAGCGTAAAGCTTATCAGTTTTCTTTCTTCGCATGTACAGATACTAAAGGTAAGGCCAAGGCCTAGGAAGATGATGAGGGAGTGGAACGCGTGCCAAAATGAGTTAACGGGAACGACCTTGGCAGTATCTAGCTAGTTATTATTGTATTTAAGTATAGTTGTTATAATAAAGTAATTATTATTATTACATTATTTTATTTTAAAGATTTGAAGTTTGAATAAATTCCTGGATCCAGGTGGTTGTCACATTTGCTGGTGATAACTATATTTTATTAAGTTTTTAAATGTTAGTTATATTTTAGTTATGTTTGAGTTTTTATCAGGGTTATTTTCTTAAATAGACGGCCGTTATATTGCAATTATTTTTAAAAGTAATAAGTTAGTGTAACGTATCCTTTAACCCTGAGAGGGGCGTTACACTTTGATTTTGAAGACTTCATTTGTAAGCAAGATGTTAACTTTTCTACTCATGGAGGGGTACATAGCAGTAGTGAAGGAGAAGACACACAAACTGAAGCTTGAATGGTAGACCTCGATCCTAACTTGTCTGATGATTGTTCCATACACGATTATGATTCTGATTCTGAGAAGTGGGCTAGATTTTGTGCCAAGAGTGATATGAAAAATCCAACCTTTAAGATGGGCATGACATTTCCCACCAAACAGGAATTCAAAGAAGTTGTTGGAAATCGTGCTTTTAAGATGGGTAAAGAGGTCAAGTTTGTGAAAAATGATAGGGAAAGAGTTGTTGTGGAGTGAAAGCATATAGGCTTCCCATGGAAGATGAATCTTAAAAAGGTAATCAACTCTCATTCTTGGAGGATTTTACAATATCATGCCACATAGGAAGGTTGCTTTAGGGTCTATCACAACAAAATGGTGAACTCAACCACGATAGCAAATAGGTAGTTTAAGGAGAATCAAAGTCACTCAAATTGGAAAACCAAAGAATTTAGATGGTGAACGCTTCCATTTGAGTGTGAGGCAAGCTTATAGAGCAATAAGTAAGGCAAGGAGAAAACTGAAAGGTGAAGAAGAAGAAGATTATGTCATACGTGGATGAAATAAGGACCAATCCTTTGAGCACATGTGTTGTGAAGTTGAGTGAAAATGTTGAAGTGGATGGGCAACAAATATTTCTTAGGATGCATATGTGCTAGGAAGCCTCTCGAGAAGGTTTCAAACATTGTAGACCAGTGTTTGGGGTAGATAGGAATAATCTGAAAACCATCACATGGGCCAGCTATTGTTGAGGGTGAAACTAGGAAATTTTGGGATTGAACCTTTTGAAGAGGGATGCTGACATCACAGAAGCCAATGGGCATGTTTTTACCTTAATGTCAGACAAGCAAAAAGGCCTAATTCAAGCTGTGAATGAACAACTACCAAGTGTTGAACATACATTTTGTGTGTGGCATCTCCATGGGAACATGAAGGCTGCAGGATTTAATTACAAAGCCCTAAAAGATTCCCGAATGATTTTTTGGCTGAACTTTTTTGTGGATAAACTAGACTTGATGCAGAACATGTCATAAAAATTGCATCTAAAAATACCACCGGGAAGGCGGCCAAACGCCGCCGTCCGGACGGCGGTTCCTGTCCGGAATTCCGGACATGAACATTTGTGTACATGTATATATGAATTTATTTTACTTCTACTCCTATGAAATTCACAGTTTTATATTATCATTACTAATCAGTTAAACAGTTGGTTTTAAGTTCAAGTGGTTAATTCCATAATAAGTACTCCTCTTCTCCATTGTCTCTATTGGTTGTTGCTGTACAAATACTTGAGAGAATACTTTTGATTTGTTTAAGATGACAACTTCCAGTTTTACTTCTACCCCTATGAAATTCACAGTTTAATGTTATCATTACTAATCAGTTAAACTTTTGATTTGTTTAGAACAATATTAATTAGTTGTGTCATCATCAAAACAACATACATGTTAATCATCAAAATCTAGGGGACCTAACAAACTAGACCAAGATGAATATAATATGTGGTCCTGTAAATATCGGGTGGTCCCCGCTCGCGGTGTGGGCTCCACGTGCATTTCATTATTTGCGTAAAAATAATAACAAAATATTACAACCACGTAAATTCATTAACCATTTCTCAAGGTTCAATACAGAATTTGGTAAAAGTAATTGGACGGTGTTACACATATCTTGAGAATCTCTTATCCAAATCATTCGGAAGAGGTGTCATTGGAAATCTCTTGAAGAGATAATTCATATGAGCTGTGTTTATGGAGAAGAAGAATAGGTTACAACTCCAAGAGAGTAGATAAACTCTCGGAGTTAGAATCTGGATTTCCTAAAACAGTGTGTTTGGTTTCTAGTTTTTCCCTTGATTGTGTATAAACCATATGGCCAAATAAGAGAAGTTTTCTATACGTTAAATGTGTAGAATAGGGTCTTTATATGGTTATTTAATCGTTTAAAAGGTTGGATACTAACATCGACATCTAATTGCTTATATCTTCAAGGTTAAGCATTGGATTATCCAAATGATAAATTCATGATTTTTATGGATTTTGATGCTTAAAATTTAATAAAATATGGATTTATATTGAGTTAATTGAGATATTAATGAATTTTTATGTTAAAATAGGTATTTCTAGCTCATGAATGGATTGTATGGATATCTAAATGATTATTTATATTCTGAAATGATCAAGGGTATAGTTGCCACATATCTAAATGTTGGGGCATAGCTAATATGAATGTTTGAATTGATAGGAATATCTTAGTAGTATTTAGATACTAACTTAAGATTGTTTATAATTGTTGATAGAATTGATCCAAAGATTTGGATTGTGTGAATTGTACTTGAATATACTTCAAGTGGCCAGATTGATAAGGTATGAAACTTGATTTGAGCTAGGGGCAGTCCTTAGGGATGACCCTAAGTGATTTGATTTTTATGATATGTTACAGACATAAAATGTGTTTAGGATTGTGTTGTGACGAATTGTTGTTGAGTAACGTGAGGCGTGGCATTGTATGTATTATTGTTGGGCAACACATATGGATGCATCATATGCATTTTTGCTAGGCAACACATATGATTGTGTAGTAAAGAATTATTGTTGGACAATACAAAAAACTAGCACCATATGCATTATTGTTGGGCAACACGTACGAGTGCATCATATGCATTATTGTTTGGGCAATATGTATGGTTGTTTGTTGTTAATCATCGCAAGGCGATCGAAAGTATTGACTCCTTCGATGGCATCCCACTACCATTTCAAGTTGAAGCTTGAGTGGTTTACATTATTATGTTTTTTTATGGATGTAGTATGTGTGAATGGTATTCATGATGCCTTGTATACTTCGAATATTCTTGATCTTGGTTGACTTATTCGAATTGTACGTCAGTTGTTGATGTATTTAGATAGTTCTGGGGTGTGACACTTCTAGAGTCTTTCAAGAAGTATCCACAATCTTCTCTAATCTTCTGGAAGAATCTAGATAACTCTACATTTCTTTTGAGTGTATGTTCTTCCACACATTTCGACACGTTTCTAGAGGACTTCACACTTCTCTAGAAAACTTTACAATGTTCTAGAATATTTTACACTCTTGCACATGCTTCTAGATAATTTCACGTCTTATTAGAAAGCTCTAGACTATTCTAGATAATTCAATACTTCTCTACACACATCTAGAAAATTCTAAATATTCCCGCGGCATTCTAGAGTTCAAATTAATTTCTCAATTAAGGAGGGAATCCAACAAATCTCCCCATGCCGTCTTAATTGAGAAGTGGCAGTCAACCACCGGGCCAATAGAAGCCTCACATTTTGACTCACCGGTCTTCAGGAGTGTTTGGGTTTGCTTAAAAAAAACGCTTTTCAGCTTTTGGCTTAAAAAAAGTTAAAAAGAGTGTTTTCAAATGACCGCTTCTGCTTAAATTAATCACTTAAAAGCTAAAAGCTGGAAGCAGTTAGAAGGGTGCTTTAAACTGCTTCTCACTTTTTCTATTACACAAAAAATACTTATTTTACCAAACACTATCAACTTTTACTTTTCCAGAATCACTTTTTTCTCAAACACTACCAACTTTTACTATTAATCATTTTTCCCAAAATCACTTTAAAAAATCACTTTTTTAAAGTTGAAGCAATTGCAAACACTCTCTTCACCTTACATGGGAGTTGCCTCCCCTCAAATAAATGATATTGTTTGATGAAATAATACTACGGGTACATCTTTTAACAAAAAAAATCATACTCTATACATGTATAAATATTTATAGACAAGGAGAGCTCGAATTGGTTTTCATCATACGATAGTCTAAATTCCATTGAACCGGTCAAACTAGCATACATGAACCTCATTACACTGGTACATAAATAAAACCACAATATAAGAAGTCGTCTCTTTTAATTTATAAAATTAACTGTATGTGAATGATGGTACGTCGTTACATTATAAAGGTTCCAAAATCCAAATCCAAAAGAAATATAACAAAACCAGCTGATACAATTTACGTATAGTTGTACGCTAGTACAAAGCGAAAGGTGAACAATAAATTAAACAAATTATTATTGTATGCCGCATGTTTAAAAATCAAAAAGCAAACTTCAAAAAAACACGCCACAAATTCGATAATAATTAACTCGATCAACGTACATATATTACTTATATGTTATTAATTGTAGCTTAATTAGCTAGCTAACTTGATGATTACTGGGTAGCTTGTTGTTGACCACTTCGGGAAGGGCTGGAGCCTGGTGATGGTTGTGTACGTGTGTAACATTATTAGTAAAGTAAAACTGGGTCAGATTGACACCCAGCCCGATACCCAAACGGTTATACCCGTTTTGCGGTATCAACCCGATTCCGTAACAAACGGGCGTGGGCGGAATCGGAATCAGCACACAGTATGAGATCTTGTACCCGCCCAAAACTTTCTGGATCTTAAATTCCTCCGCTTGACTCTCGGGGCCTATTGCCACGAATTCCTTGTTTGGGATCTCGTCTTCTTTTATGTACCTATAAAAAAATTCACATTCAAATATTGATAAACTGTAAATTTAGTTACGTAACTTTTGCATTTTTGTAATCATATAACTTCGCATATTTAGTTCTGTAACTAATCAATTTGTACATATTAAGACTTTTCCACAGGAATGTAATATTTGCGACTGAAAAATTGACGTAGACAATGTGTTTCTCTTAGAAAATGTATTTTCACGTGGAAAAGTCTTTCACATAATGTGTGTTAGAATTTTCTTAATATGTATTACCAGAGATTTTCATCGCTACAGTTTTGGCTAATGGCAGAGGGGAAGCTGATGTGGTATGGAGTATCTTCTCGGACGATGGTGTCCTCGCTCGGGCTGAGGGGAGAGATGGTGATGGGCAGGCCGATGAGGTTAGTGTAGAAGGAGGGGCACTCGATGACATCATCGGGGCAGTCGGCGTTGTCCACGAGGCATAACCCGTGTGCCTTGGGGAAGAGGGTGGAGAAGACGTAGTATGGCTTCCCGAGCTTGAGCTCCTTCCCGTCGCTGCCCAATACTGGCTGTGAAGGGAAGTGTCTTAATGAAAAGGCTATTAAGGGAAGAAAGGACAAGAAGAAGAAAAGAGATTGGATATGATGAAGGTTAAGAGCCGTCATCATGTTTTCAATTCGTGGTTTATTTATTAGAAGAGATGGATATTGCCATATTGGCTAAGGTAGATTCCAATTTATAGGGAAGAAGCTTGGTAGCTAAGGAGATAAATCATATATGTGCTCCGTACTCACAATTCATGTAGTAGCCAGCAATGTTTTTCTACCCAAAGATGGTAGAAGACAACATACTACCTATATGTAATTACCTATATCTCAGTAATCAGTATTATACTTCACTTTTTATTAATTGCAACACCATAAGGTTTGCATAAAAACTAGGGAAAATGGAAACTAATAATCCAACCTTTTAGCGGTCTTCTTTTAATAATCTCACCTTTTTATTATTCATGAATAATCCAACCTTTGCACCACATCTTCATTCACTGGTCCTTGACCGGTTGATGACCTGCTATTCCAAGCTATTTTCTTATCTTTGCAAATCATTATACCATAAATTTCATCTTTCACAAAGATAATATTTTGCAAAGATAAGAAAATAGCTTGGAATAGCAGGTCATCAACCGATCGGGGACCAGTGAATGAAGATGAGGTGCAAAGGTTGGATTATTCATGAATAACCAAAAGGTTGGATTATTGTAAGAAAATCGCTAAAAGGTTGGATTATTAGTTTCCATTTCCCCGATCGCTAAAAACTATTGTAACTAAAAAATTCATAACTTTCGAAACATCACTTTTATTTTCTTTATTAATACGTAATCATGTATAGCAAAGTGGTAAAAAACATGCAATTCATATTAATACGACTACATATACTTTATTCTCAAAATAATACTTATTTGATCCTATTAAATGTATAAAACTTTCCGCATTAGAAGTAAATAAATCCTATATATTTTAGAGGGAAAAATGATAGTGGTTTATTTATGTTTTAGTCATATATAAGGAATTTTCTCTTTAAATACCACTGAAATCTAATACGGAGTATATCAACTACGTAGTATATGACTTTTCGATCCAATGCATATTCAGAAGTACTAGCACTGCCAGTGGTTTTTCAATGGCGTTTGTGTCAAATGTTTTATTACACTCCCTCCGTAACGTAAAAACCTTTGTATTTCAAAAGTAGGTAGATTAAGGATAGTGAAAGATAATATAAATTGTTGAGGATATGATGGGAAGATCGTTGAATAATGTGATGGAATGAAGGGTAAATCCAAAAAAAAGTAATTGTAATAGTGTATTATTTTCAAAATTATTGAGGATATGATGAAAAGATTTAGAAATGGGAAGATTTTTTCTTTATGGACGAAAACAAGAAAGTGAGGAGATTTTTTTGTTACAAGGGAGTATATATAGCTTGTTGAGTTAGCTTAGCTTATTGTATGTGAGTATGCGATAAAGTTAGTTGTTTTGTAAAAAAACATAAAAACATCTCCATTTCAACAATATGTCGAGGCAGATTCGGACATACAAAAGCATGCATACACTATCAAAATACTATTGCTATAGTTAAAACATACATACGTACGTTCCATTATTAGACGTTACCAAGTTTAAGTTAAGTGTGAAATAAGAAGTGAAAATTTTATAGTTGAGATTTGATTAAGAAGTACAAATTAATCGCTTTAATGATAAAATGACAAAGTTTTAGGAATACATGGAAAAGAGAAGTCGTAAAATAAAATAAGGTGGAGGGAGTACGGGATATCGATAATGTAGAACATGATTGAAAATATAAAAGGGAAGTAGGAGTCGTGTCCTTTCAAAAAAAAAAGTAGGAGTCGTGTGTTATTTAGTATATGATCGGAGTAATAATACAGAGATTGAAGGACACTACTCACACTACTACTATATACGGAGTATTTTATTACTTTTAAGTTAAGTATTTGTAATAAACTTAGATTTCTAATGAGTAATAAGGTGTTTTCTTTTGGATTGCCAGTTGTCTCATATCAAACCAAATCAAACTTTAACAGACTAGATCGAATCAGACTTAGACAAACCATATCATATTTTTATAGTTATCAAATACTCCCTCCGTCCCGGAAACAAATTCTCATTTTCCTTATTTGGATGTCCCAAAATAAACTTCTCATTTTCTTATTTGGCAAATTATCTACATCAAAACGGTACAAAACAGTGTCAAACAGAGTCGAAACAGTGTCAAAACAGTCAAATTTACCCTTCAGTGACTTTATTTTCTTAAAACGTGTGAAAGTCAACCCGGAAACTTGTTTTCGGGACGGAGGGAGTACATGAAATCAGATATTTACCAAATCAGGCTAGTTCAGGTCAGACCAAACCAGACTCAAACAAACCAGATTATATCACTAAATTTCAATCCAGAAGAAAACATCTCAACTTTCTGCATTGATGTGAGTTTTCTCGCACTTGAAAAGATTGTAGAATAGTGGTGTAAGTACGAGTATCGTCTCCACAGGGACGGACAAAAGGGAATTAAGAATTAACTAAATTCAGCGATTAAAAATAAATAAATAAAAATGCGTCGTGCGAGATTGGTTGGTTGAATAAAAATTAAACTAATGCGAATGAAGGATTAAAAAAAGATTTGGTTTTCCTTAATTAACGACGAAGGGAACAGGGATTGATTCCGGGGTAACCAGATTTCTGGCAGATCAGGCCTAATTACATGAATTTAATTTAATTGAGCCTAGCTAATCATTACTAAGTTCTTACCGCTCTCGCGGCGTAGAGTACAATAATTTAGGGGACCAGGCTGATCTCTCATGCGACAGGATCCTAAATTATTGCCAAGACGAGCGAGCTTACGGCCCCTTAATCGCTACTAATCTCTTAGCGAACGATCAAGTGTGTGTGAATGTGTCCTAAAACAAATTAGATCTCTCTTAATTCACTCTACATGCAATTGTAATTCTAGCTGCAGTCTAGGTTACAAAAGATATCAGTTAAATTATTCAAACACAAATTAAACGGCATTCATGCAATTAAACCAACAAGAATCTAGCCATCAATCATGATTAACCCCTTCATCAACCCCAAATCCCTAATTAAACTACTCACAATTCATAATTGAAGAATCAACAGAATTGAGATGAATAGAAATAATTGTCATTAATTAAAAAGATGAACTTACAAATAATCCCAGGGTCTTGGAAAAAAATAGCGTAAAAACGGTGTTAAATTCGTCCCTAGGCCTCTCCGTAATGTTCGTAACGTCAAAATATGGGTATGGGGGTCTTATTTATAGAAAATAGATGAGTTTGGGCTGAACTGGGACTAAAAAAGGGCTGAAATCCGCGTCTCGGGTGTACGCACGATCGTGCGTACCTTGCCACGCACGATCATGCGTAGCAGGCAGATTAGTTGCCGCGTTGTTGGCTGTTACGCACGATCGTGCGTCCTTTTACGCACGATCGTGCGTCCGTGCTCTTCAGCCTTTTTTCTATTCCGAATTTGACAAAACTTCCTTCATGAAAGTTGTAGATAATGAAGTCCTATATCCACCCCAATTTGCCGAATGTGATTTGAATCATCCAATCAAGAGATATGACTAAAATGGTGGAAGGTGTCATTCTGAAATCGCAGCAGAGATCATCTGACTTCATCATCTGTTTTCACCTTGATCCTCTCAGATTCTCGGAATGATGTCTTCATATGATTTGTAGCCCTTGAAGTTGGCTTTCATATGGAACTTGAATCGTGTACATTGGTTGTTTCTACAAAGAGATATGCTTGAACGATTGACAGAAGGTCATCCTGATCGTCGTTTTCAAGCTTCATTCATCTTCTTTTGACCCCGTAGCCAATCTTAGAGCTCTTTTTCCTTCAAATCTTCATCGTGAATCTTCCGGTGACCTCCAAATCTATCAAATGATTCTCAAATGCTTCTCAAATCATCCCGATTGTTCCTCAAGTGTCAGTGCCGGGCTCAAATTCCTTGATTTTGACTACAAACAACACAAAACTCGAACCAACGCCCGGTAAACATAACTTGAGCTAAAATTGAGACTTGTAACACCTTAAAGCTAGGAAAACCATCAAAATCCGATCTCAACACGCATCAAATACGTGTCTAAATACGGACTTATCAGATTCCCCCACACTTAAGCCTTTGCTTGTCCTCAAGCAAACTGAACAACGGGACTTACGATAATCACCACACGGAATTTAAAATAGTTAGCATGCACACGTAGTTAAATGGATATTCACAGGACAAACAATCTAAACCAAGAAAATTCTTCCCTAAACTACAACTTTGTAGTATAGTGGTAAGTATTCCCGCCTGTCACGCGGGTGACCCGGGTTCGTTCCCCGGCAACGGCGCCAAAAACTGATGTGAGTTTTCTCGCACTTAAAAAGATTGTAATATAGTGGTGTAAGTACGAGTATCGTCTCCACAGGGACGGACAAAAGGGAAATAAAGATTAACTAAACTTTAGCGATTAAAAAGAAAGAAATAAAATAAAAAATGCAATTGTGCGAGATTGGTTGATTGATTAAACTAAAACTAATGCTAATGAGCGAATAAAAAAAAAGATTTGGTTTTCCTTAATTAACGACGAAGGGAACAGGAATTGATTCCGGGGTTAACCAGATTTCTGGCAGATCAGGCCTAATCACATGAATTTAATTTAATTGAGCCTAGCTAATCATTACTAAGTTCTTACCGCTCTCGCGGCGTAGAGTACAATAATTTAGGGGACCAGGCTGATCTCTCATGCGACAGGATCCTAAATTATTGCCAAGACGAGCGAGCTTACGGCCCCTTAATCGCTACTAATCTCTTAGCGAACGATCAAGTGTGTGTGAATGTGTCCTAGAACAAATTAGATCTCTCTTAATTCACTCTACATGCAATTGTAATTCTAGCTGCAGTCTAGGTTACAAGAGATATCAGTTAAATTATTCAAACACAAATTAAACGGCATTCATGCAATTAAACCGACAAGAATCTAGCCATCAATCATGATTAACCCCTTCATCAACCCCAAATCCCTAATTAAACTACTCACGCCTCATAATTGACGAATCAAAAGAATTGGGATGAATAGAATAAATTGTCATTAATTAAAGAATTGAACTTACAAATAATCCCAGGGTCTTGGAAGAAAATAGCGTAAAAACAGTGTTAAATTCGTCCCTAGGTCTCTCCGTAATGTTCGTAACCCTCAAAAGTGGGTATGGAGGCCTTATTTATAGAAAACAATGATTTCGGGTCGAATTAGGACAGATCGCGGCCAGGCACGGTGCCAGGCACGACCGTGCCTGCGACCGTGCCTACGGAAAGAATCCGTTTTTTTCGCGTCCAGGCACGGCGTGCCTAGCTGCCAGGCACGACCGTGCCTGGCCTCCAATAGCTCGTAGTTTCGTTTTTCTTCAGGCACGGCGTGCCCAAGTCCAGGCACGACCGTGCCTGACCTTATCCTTCACTTTTCCTTCGTTTCCCTGCTCCAAACGCTACCGGATGCCTACGAGGTCGATCCAAATGCTCTTTCTTCATCAGAATTTCGTCGTGAATCTCCCGGTGACCTCCAAATCTTCCAAATCTTTCCCGAACGCCTTCAAATCCTTCCCGAATGCCTCTCAAGCGCCGATTGCCGGACTCCAATTTCTTCAAATCAACTCCAAATGCAATGAAACTCCATCCAACGCCTGCTAAACACAACTTGAGCCAAAATTGAGACTTGCAACGCCTTAAAGCCAGGAAAACCATCAAAATCCGACCCGAACACGCATCGAATGCGTGTCTAAATACGGACTTATCATGCATTATTAACACGCATATTTTATAGGCACGGATATGAATTTTTAAATCAATTATGGCATGGTCAAAATATCCTTACGTAGTTACGTACGTAGTTTTAGCCTTTTAGTTGTTTTTGTGTTTAACAAGGATAGATAATTGGGTGTCAACTGTCAAGTCTTACATTAGGTTAGTTTGTGCATCATTTATGGGTTGTCAAAACAATTTAGACTAAATATCTCTCCCTTCCTTTTTAATTTGATGATCCCATCCTATTCTTTTTGAGTTTAAATGTCAAGAAAGTGTTGTATATAATCCATATAAATTTACTTTATAGTATTATTCATTCTTTTACTTTTACTTTTATGATTCATAACAAGAGAAATATAAATATTAATTTCTTTAATATTTTTACCACAATGAGAAACAAAACTATCATTCCGGAACAGTTCAAATAAGAAATACAGAAGCATCATCTTTGGTTGGGACAAAAGTAGTACGTTTGTAACATTTATAGGACTAACAAAACATGTTTCTCGTCTATATCCATATGGATCAAATAATGTCTTTCTAGGGTAATATTTGCTTGTGTACAATTTTTAGAAAAATCTTTGCATTAGAATAAGACCTTTTGGTTTGTACGTAAGGTTGTTTATCCACTCCAAGTTTGCCCCAAAATAACGTTATACACCTGCAGTGAAACCAAATACTCCGTATAATGGACAGTTGGTTCAACGAATTCATTTATTAATTAACGCTAGATTGTACCAGCTGGTAGAAAAGTACTACCTCGGTCACGGTAGACTTTGCCAAGTGCAAAGTAGGTGAGAAATAAGAATAGTAAAAACTGTGTGGTTGAGATTTGTATAGAAGAGAGAGAAATGTGCAGAACCACAAATTAGTTGCTTTAATAAGAAAGTGGCAAAGTTTTCTGGGACAATCATAAAGGGAGAATTGGCAAAGTACAATGGGACGGAGGGAGTACTTCATTTGATACTGTATTTTTCCATTCGTTTGGTTCAATACTTTCAATTAGCCCTATTTTTTTAAAGCAAATTAGCCCTAATTTTTGTTTTCGTCAATTCAAATACCTATACTCCATATTGGATAATATATTTGCTAATGTGAAAATTTTCATGACTTGCAAAAATTCTGATCCGTAACGATGGATCCCATGTAAAAGAGACAAATATCACGTACCCACTAGTTAAAGACCCATTATTTGATTTAATTTGCATGCTTTACACTGATTTGCTTCAAGTATTGGTCCAACTAGTTTATAGAAAAGAATGTTTAATCAAAATATAATTATATAGTAATTGAAAGAGTGACATCTAATCTAGTCTTCTACTCAATTTATTGATGCTTTAAAGCTCTACAAATCATAAATTTAACTCTGGTCTCGAAGTGTACAAATGATCGAGCGTTTTTGTTTATAAACTATGGAGTAGTACTCCGTCACATGATAGGTCTATAATAGAGAGCTAAGCAACTAAGTCAGTCTAGTCCAATCACTCATCAACCTATTAAGCCCTCAAATAGTTAGCGATTTTGTACTCAGCCCTAAATAAAAAATCTTGTAAATACTCCCTTTCAAGCAATTGAATCGTTTTTTATCTGCTTCATCTATTGGTTGTGGTAAGACGATAACTTTCTCGTGAGAAGTTACCATGAAGAATAGGTAAAAGGGCTTGATTGATTATTTTAAAAAGGTCAATAGTAGGTATTATAGATGTATTTACAGGTCTTCTAATTTATAAGTCTAATTATAGAATCGCTAATAGTTCAAGGCATATTTGCCCCTTTTCTCTCAAATATATGATCTGATGAGTACATTTGGTGATCAAAATGTTTGTGATACACCTCTGCACTCTCTTAAGAAAGGTAAATACGTGCATAACCAATAGAGGAGGCCTTCGTTAAGCTATGCAATACCACAACACCAATGGCGTTCAGATCATCCAATTATCATTTATCACCAAGGCTCTCGTTACTTGTGATTAGACACTGCTTAGCTTTAATCATGGTTAAACTCTCATAGAGATTTTGACATCAATTGTGATTCAAAAAAATTTGGGAAACCATGACCAAAAATAGATACAGTATATACTAATAGTCGAATAAGTTATATTGGTTCCTCGTTGACAAATGGAGCAAAAAAACTTTTAAGTTACTTATTTTCTCAATTCAAACTATTTATTGAGTACAAAAGGTGAACAACATTATTCAAATGATCACTTAATTCTCATACACATCTTAGTACACACCGAAATCTTGATTCAAATTTCAAACGAGACTTGATGAAAACAAACAAACACTCCAAATAAAGCTTAATCAAACATTTAGCTTGTGCACGAATAATAACGTAACATGAATGGATATATCGTTACTCTCGCAAAGAAGTAGCCTAATAAAACTTAGGCCAACTATTAATTTCACTAAGGAATCATAAAACTTCCCCATTACATTCGACAATCGACTCTATATGCTTATATAAGATTATACGGCCTTAATAACACCTCCATTTAAAACAAAATTTAGACCAACTATTAACCTTATTGTTGTTGTTATCATAACTATAATTATTACTCCGTATTATTATACGTATTATTATTATATATAATTAACCTAGCTAGTAGGTGGCGGTATTGTTGACGGCGGTGACGTTATTCTTGAAGAAAAACTTGACCGGTTCAAGGCCCAGCCCGATACCCAATCGGTTATACCCAAAGTCCGGTATGAACCCAATGTTGTAGCAAACGGGTGTCCGCGGTATAGGAATGACCACGCAATGGACGATCTTGTATCCGAACCCGACCTTCTGGGCCTGGAATTGGATTGCGGGCCCTTTTGGGTTTGTTGTGACGAATTTCTGTAACGGATTATGGGCCTCACCAAAGGTCCAAACGGTTTCGTTGCTAACGTTTCTGTTGACGGAAAATTTAACGGTGTAAGACACGTTCTCCCTGACGATTGGATCTTCCGTGTCATCAACGGCGGAGAATATGACGGGGAAAGCGTTGACCGCCTCCTTGGACTTTGTGGAGTTGCATTGAACGACGTCGTGGGGATGTGCCTTGGGCTCATTGTTGTTGACGTTGACCAGGCATAGACCCTCCAGGTGGAAGAACGCGGCGGAGATGGCGTAGTAGGCGGCGTTGAGTTTGAGCTCTTTCCCGTCGGCGTCCACCACCGGAGGGGAAGTCGGAAACTGTCGTGAAAAGACAAAGGGGACTAACAATGATAAGCAGAGGAAAAAGAGGGGGGAATATAGCATAGGAGTATTCATTTTTTTAGGTGACTAATTTGCTAAGAGTGTATTTATAGAGAGAGTGTATTTATAATTTTGGGATCCGTTTGCTCTAGGTCTGGGACAGGTTCCTAGAAAATATGAAATTTTACTAAGAGTTCGGTTCTTATAAATTATTTTATAGAACATCAATAAGGAATAGAACCATTTTTAATGGTACGGTTCTTGTCATTCAACAGTTCCTAGTCTTTAAAAATTTCTTAGAAATCACCGTTAAATTTGTGCAAAAAAGACATTAGACGTTTGAAATTACAATACAAATATGTTGAACATCATTTCAAACCTCAAAAGTTGAGTTTAAAATATAAATACATAACAAACCGCAAATTTTAGTAAATAAAACATAACAAGATACGTAGTATTCGCTAAAGAAGCCCAAGAGAACCGGTTAAAATGAAAAATAATTTTAAATAGTTGAATAACTAAACTAAAATGGTGAATGTAATATAAAAATAGATGAGTAAATATACATTAAAATATATATACTAATAAGAAATACACACACACACACACACACACACACACATATATATATATATTATATAACGGTTCCTTAACGGTTCTAATGGTTCTATGTATTTTTTTTCAAGAACCGAGAACCAAACCATTAATAAAAAATAGGAACCGAACCATTAACAAACAACTTATAAATTTTGGAACCGAACTGAATCGGGTTATAACGGTTCGGTCCGGTTCGGTTCTCCGGTTCTTGGTTCCAAAGTGCCCGCCCTAGTTTGCTCCACGTAAATTTAAGAAAATCAGTGTTAGAATAAAAATTAGATTAACGTGGGTCAATATAATTGAGTGTTTGTAATAGAGTTGTGTGTTTTAAGATGTTTTTACTTGGACTGGAATTTGTTGGTCTGGTCTGGTTTGGTCTGAACTGATTTGGTCTGGTCTGATCTGGTAATGTCTAGTCTATGTGTATTTTTATAACTATCCAAGTCTAATCTGATCTGATCTGGTGAACTAGTCTGATCATGTCTGGTCTGATCTGGGACTGACAAGAGTCGAAGTAAAAAACATACTTTGAATACCTTATAAAAGAAATAGCCAAATATCCAAAAATACTCATTATATTGTAGAACAGGTTGGTGTGAAAAACAGTCAGAATTCTTTTAACAATTAAAATGGTAAGTCATGGTTATTCAACTCGCCAACATACTATCACAGATTCACAACACCACGAAGTGAATAAATTGACATTTTTCATATATTTATTCAATGAAATGGAGATAAAAGAATGATGCAAAAAAAATCTGAATATGAATAAAAACTTAAGCAATCCCGAATTTTGAGTAATTGAGTATTATGTCTTAAATTAAATAGGAATGCATTACCTTCATTCAAAATTTACCGTCATATTTCATACTAGCTTTCAAGCCCGTGCGATGCACGGGCAGATGTAATTTAGCTAATTTGAAATTTGATTTCTTTCGGATTATATGTAATGTGATTTAAAAGAAAAATAAACTTAGTCTAATATAGAGCATGTTTGATAATACTAAAATAAATTGAATCAACTTATTTTACTCAAATTGATTAAATTATGACTGAATGAGCTAAATGAGTGGAATCATGAAAAAATATGTAAAATATATTCCATTTGTGAAGCCAGAAAAAGATTATATGAAAAATAGTTAAATTGATCTTCTACATAAGCATCTCGAGTAAATATAATTGCTATGAACCCGATTTTAAACGTTTAATATAATCTTATGAAGATGGATATTCACAGAAATTTAATACGGAGTATATATTAAGTAAAATAGTCTAAATATAGAGCATGTTTTTTTAAATTGTAAGCCTAAACGTGTAAACGTATACTATAACATTGAATTGTTATAATGGAATTAAAATGTATAATTCTAACACATAATTCTAAGCCTAAACGTATACTATAACATTTAATTGTTATAGAAATTAAAATGTATTATATTTTTGGCTAAGAATACCTGTCATATATAAACTTAGCCTAAAATAGAGTCTGTTTAATATAGTACTTTCTACGGATTTTTGTTTCCATATCAATATGCAATCAAAAATAGAATCTAGCTAATAAAAATAGAAGGTACAAATTAACTAAATAATTACTACGTAATATATATAATGACATGGCGGGATTATGTGGCGCTTTGTATGCTCTTAAAAAGTTCCTCTTTTATATATATATATATTGATTGTCGCACTTGAAACATGTCAGTGTATTATCGTTCGGAGTATGTGGTAGCTGTCATAACAAAAAGTAAATTTCAAACTTAATAATAATTACTTCTTTTAATTAGATAATAAAAATATAGCACTTTACTTTAAAATTATTACTCAACATTTTTACTCTTAATTTTGAGGAAATTATTATGACCCATTTATAGCAACTCCAACAATTGGTGAGCCAAGAATTCAATCATTTCATTTCCCATTATTTGTTTATTTTTCTTTTACTTCTTCCCCGAAAGTAACCAACTACCCTGTATTGTTGGTACAACCTGTTTTCCAATATACTAGTAAACATTTTGGATACGGCAATAAAGGTGTGTTCATAGATCATAGATGTGAAAAAAACTAAATTCATACTATAGCTGTGAATAGATGAGTATATCATAGATGTGAAGAAAAAAACTATGTACCACAATCGAATATTATGCCAAAAACGCATAGCTAAAACAACTATTCAACTAAGGTTCCGTTTATACTATCAAAATATAAAAACTAAGAGCCCATTTGGTAACGCGAAAATCAGCTGTTTTGGCTGATTCTGCTAAAATTTATGAAGTTCTGATTGAAGTGGCTGCACTGGCTGATTCTGCTGATTTAAGAAAAACTTATTTTTAAAATATATTATATTAATAAAATAAAGAAAGAATTATATGCAAAAATAGCTAAAATGGTCATCTACAGTAACTTCAGCCAATACAGCAGAAAAGTAACTTCAACCTTACTTTTTCTGCTTATTACACAATTCAGCGCGCGAAAGTAAAATTACGTGTTTGGTGAAAAAGTTAGCTGATAAGCCTGATAAGCCGAAAAACAGTGTTGTCAAACCGCCTCTAAGAAGTTGTTCTCTTCACCTGATATGAATGTTTCTTATCTGAATTTTTTAAGTTCTGATCTGATCTAATCTGAATTTTTCTGATCTGATCTGATATAAATCTTTCTGATCTGATCTGAATCTTTCTGATTTGATCTGAATCTTTCTGGTCTGATCTGAATGTTTCTAATCTAATCTGAATTCTTCTGATTTGATTTGATCTGAATCTTTCTGATCTGATCTGATTTGAATATTTCTATAATTGTAATTATAATTATTATAACTATAATTGTAATTACAAATATAACTTAAATAAAATTATGATTATAATCATAATTATAAAAAATAGAATTATAATTAAAATTAAAATTAAAATTATAATAATTATACCAATTACACTAATTATAACTATAGATACAATTATAAATGTAATTATATTTTTAATTATAATTAATTATATAATTATTATTGTAATCATAAATATAATATTTATTTCTATAATTACAATAATAACTATAATTATAAATCGAAATATAATTACTCCATATAATAATAATTACAACAACAACAACAACAGCAACAGCAACAACAGCAGCAGCAACAGCAGCACCACCAGCAGCAGCAGCAGCACCACCACCACCACCAGCAGCAGCAGCAGCAACAACAATTTTATTATTAATATTATTATTATTATTATTATATTATAATTATTATTCTTATTATTATATTAATATATTATTATTAATATTATTAACAATAATAATTATAATAGTAATAATTATAATTAATATAATAATAAAAGTGATAAATCATGTTTGAATTTTTCTGAACTGATCTGAATGTTTCTGATCTGATCTGAATGTTTCTGATCTGATCTGAATGCTTCTGATCTGATCTGAATCATTCTGATCTGATCTGAATTTTTCTGATCTGATCTGAATAAAATAAGAATAAGGAATAAGTAATAAGATTAAGACGAAGAGAACAGCTTCTAAGGCTCCATTTGGTATTGTTTTTAATAAAGTTTTACTCAAACTTTAATAAAGGTGTCTCTAGACCGTTCTATTCCGATCACTGAATATACTTCGTAGGGTTGTACACGAACCGAATCGAGTCGAATAGTAGGATTTTGTATTTCTATTTGTTTAATTTTTTCGAATACGAATTCGAATTTAAATATGAATCGAATATTAATTTCGATTTGTATTTGTATTTGTTTAACAATACGAATAGTTAACGAATCTTATACGAATATCGAATAGATTTGAGCATAGGTTATATATTAGCTAGTCAAATATCACTTAAAATTAAATTTCCTTATATTTTTTTATGTTGTAAATGTACGCTATGATTTAATATGTGCTTTTAGAATTTAAATTCAATGGATGAATGCATTTTTAGATTGTGCATTTTTAAATATAAATCTATTTCAAACTTTTTGAAATAAACACTAACACACACATATTAGAAATTACACTTATAATGTGTGAAATAAGTTGATAATTGTATATATCAAAGTCAGACGACTCTATTTTTATTCTGCAAATCAAATACATAATTATTTGTATTGTATTTGAAAGACATTTGAACCAAAAATCCGATTTGTATTCGTATTTATACTCTGATTTATTACAAATGGACTTAGAATCTGTATGCGTAAATGTATATGTGAACTACACTTTAGGGTATAACTATCTTTTAAAAGTTATTATAGTGTTATTACTATTATTATTAATATTATTATTACTAATATTATCACTATTATTAACCGAATATATTTGATTAATATTTGAATCGAATACACTGATATTCTTATTTGTATTTGATAACAAATCGAATCAAATTTAATATTCATATTTGTATTTGTATTTGAATTTTCCGAATTCGAATCGTCTTATACGAATTCGAATCGCGAATCCAGCACAAATTATTTGATTCGTTTACCATCCTAATTACTTCGTAAGTTCGTATATACAACCTTAACCAAAACTTGTTATTGTCA